GCTGCCAGTGTTTGATTGGGTAGGATTAGTTTGTGTTAGAGTTCCTATCTGCCATGAAAGATCTTGAGGAGCAGTACCTGAGGACAGCAAGTACAGCACAAGCTGCAAATCTGCTGTCCATGAGGCTGGCATGGCAGGTTGGCACTGATGGGATGAAGCCATTCTTGGCATAAAAGGATTTCAGCCTTTGTTCTGGAATAGTCCATGGCCTTTCCTCCCATAGTGCCACCTAATGCCAACTCAGCCAGCGGTTTGCTTCTCCGGGAGGTGAACATCTGCCCCCTCTGACAGCCTGGGACATTCCACACTCGTTTCACCAAAGCCAACAGCCAGCTGTCAGAAGAACAGTGATTTTTCTTTAAAGACAGCTTTATCCCATTAGCCAAATTTCCCATTCCTGTATTCTATCTCCTTCAAGATACAGTCTTCCCTGCACATGGTAAAAGCTGAACTTCTTTCTTCTTGCAAACCTCAGGGATGTGTAGCAACCTGCTCCACGGTACCAGCAGCTCTGGCTGCCCCAGCAGCTATGGAAGAGAAGGTGGCACACGGCCCTGTGCCTCTGGTGACCATTTGACAAGACTCATCTGCAAACACAACTCCTGCCAGCGCTGGGCGGTCAAAATGCAGTCATAGCATATGATGGTGCTGGAGGATTAAGTACAAAAATGTAAGAAAACATGAAAGACATAAGCAGTAGGCATTCTGAAATGCTCCTATTAGAGGAGAATTGGAGCCATGCTGTTAGAACTAAATATTAACTCTTATAATAAATACTAACCAAGAATGTAGTCAACACTATCAAAGGAAAAACCACCTGGACAAAAGCATTTGCCTTTATTTGCTCCTCACTGAAAGTTTAATACATCTGTGAAAATCTCTTCAAGTTAAAACAGTACAGATATTACAAAAGTACCTTAAAATTTGGTGTATGGTCACACACTACTTTTCACCAACTGAAAACTGGCATGGATAGATTATTAAAAAGCCAAGGGTTTTTTTTCACAGTTGATACTGTTTGTTTACTTTCTAAAATTTTCTTGGACCAAATTAACAAGAACAGTGAAGGCCGTTTCACGGTGATTTGCCATCATTTTCCCTCTGCACCACAATGTGAACGTCAGACCCATTAGAGGGAACAAGTTATTATTTAACAGTAACTATTTCCAGAGTATTGTTTCAGTTAAAAAAAATCCCAAAAAACAACAACAACAAACTTTTAGAAAGGATTTGTATTTTCTAAAAGTTTTGTTAAAAAAATCTAAGTAACTTGAAGTTAAATTTCAGTCTTTAAATTCCCATTAACATTTATTAATCTCTTTCAGCAGAAACTCTTTACTATACAGATTGTAGTTTAAAGAAGTCCTATAAAAACAGGCTGGAGTGAAACCAACTGAAATCTATAAGGCCACAGCATGCCATCAATTTCTAAACAGAACTTCTATTCAAATTATTCTGGTTAAAACCTCATATGGTCTGCAAAAATGAGCTAGGTTTTCTTGAAACTATTTAAATAACAATCTATCTAAGACTGTAATCTGTTTTGTATGGGATTTGTAAGCCATCCCACAGAATTCTCTAGCAGGGGACACTATTCCCTATTTACATCAAAGTTTTATATAAATAATATTACTCTCTTTTTTAATATTCTGCAGCTGTTTTCCGTTATGAATAAGCTGGGCCTATGAAGAAAATGTGAAAATAGGAAAACTGTGAGTAATATTTATAATAATGATCTATTCAACTCAGGAAATTGCTACAACTATCTTTATCAAAATAAACAAGATAGATATTCTTTCCTCCTTTAAGAGAAAAGGAAAATCATCCATTATTAAAAATAATTTGACTTGGTATTTGTTTGGTATTTGGATTTAACTGTCTTATATCCCATTTTTGGTCCTGTTTAAAGAAAAACAAGAAACAACAAAACAACAAAACCCCGCATAAAAACATACACACAAAAACCCCAACAGCATTGCTTCTCGTCTCCCAGGAGTGAGAACGGCACATAGACACGCCATTCAGCCCAAAATTGCTCTAGCTACAGGGCATGGCAAGGCATGAAATAACTGCTCCAGAGCACTTCCTCATGTGGGTGTGTTAGATAACTGTCTGCTCCAACACTAAAATAAAGCACACTGTGACCCAATGAGCAGCGCCAGCCCTGCCCCGCACAGCTGCCCAGGCTGCGGGCAGGGCACCCGCAGCACCCCGTGCTGCCCCGCACCAGCAAACCCGTTCAGATCCCCCTGGCCAACAGGTTTGGCATTTCCTGAGTTCTACCTACATCACCATATGCTGGATTTAAGTTTACCTAAGCATACTTTACCATTTGCTGCTGTATCCAGATTGCAAACGGACTTTTTGCTATTGAAAGAGCTAAGATTTGTTTTATTTTGTATTTTTTGTTCGGTTTTCTTTATGTTTGTTTGTTGTTTTGTTGCTCGTTGTTTGTTTTTGTTTTTTATAGACTATAGTTGCGGTTCAATGAAAATCACATCCTCCTAGTGAAAAAGGTTTTACTATTAGAAAGAAATCTTACTGGATAATGAAAAATATTTCTCCTACTGTGACTCTCTTTCTCTGCTTCAATTCTTCCTGCCTGGAGTTTTCATAAAATCAAGAGGTATCTTGTAGTCATTTTTAAAGCTTTTCAGAAATGTTCAGATAAGTCTGGGCTTCTGCTAAAAGTACATGCAACAATCCTGCGGAGAGGTCCATGTGCTCTCCTACAAAAACCTGGACTGTTGAGGAACATACACCTGCATTGGTGCAGGAGAAAATGACAGGTGCCTGAAAACCCCTCACCTATCCCAAGAGGAGGATGGCTGCGAACACTCCTGCTGCCTCACTCCAGGCTAACCACCATCTAGAGGCATCAGCAAATCCACCTTTAAGACCCCCACATTTTTTCTGGCATAACTTCAGCATCGACTCTACGACCAATCTGAGTTTCAAAGCCTGAGACTCAAACTTTACGAGAGGAGGAAATACTTTGCTACAGTTAACAGGTCATTTAGAGCAACAAACAGATTTGAAGTCTATCAACAAAATATTAATTTAGAAGTTTGAATAAAAACAAACAGAAAAAAATTAGTAAACAATAAATATAACTCCTCAGCTAAGAGACGAGCCACCAAATTTTGGCACACTGATATATAAAACCTTGAAAAGTTTCACTCATGTTCTGGAAAAGCTGCGAATAAAATGGAGCAAGTAGTTTCTGTAGTTACAGTGCCAGTGAATAGATCTGCTGCTTTGGATTTCAATTAACTTAGTTTGTTCAGCGAGGAGGCACTTCTGTAGAAATGGGGACTCGTAAGTTAAAGGACAGCTAAAAAAACCACCAAACAACAGCAAAAAAACCTGTTGGCAGCAGAAGTTCTTTCTGGCTGCAAAATAATGGATTTTTAAGAAACATTTCAAAGGATTTGAAGGTTTTGGAGCATGTCCTAGGCAGTCTCAGGTGGGTTAGGAATTTTGCATTACGGACTTCTTTGTGCTAAAAGGAAGGCCTAATGCATGTTTTTAAGTCCGCCTCTTGCTATTAAATAAATAATTTTCTATTAAAAAAGGTGGTTGTTACTGTTCAGAGATCTCCACTGATCAGCGTCCATTTTATATAATTATTTAGGATTCTCCAGAACATTTTATGTAACTCACTTCCACTATCCCTTTTCTTTTTTTTCTTTTTTTTTTTTTGTTACCAGCATAGTAGCAGTTTTACTCTCCAACAGAAATGACAAGAGCTCAGATAAAAAGACCATTTCAAATGGATCAGTTTAAGCAGTCTTTAGAACCCATGATAAATCTGTGCTCCAAAAAGTCGACAGTGCTAAATGGGCTATGAAATGCATCACAAATCCCTCCCCAGAAAAAAAAAAAAGTAAAAAAAAAAATCAATTCAGAGAAAAGCTTCAATGTTTGAAAATACAAATAAGCAGCATATTTGTGGAATGAAAAATGGTAAATAAATAGTTACTATTTCTGGACAAAATGGCTCGATAGATTTCATAATTTGCCACCACTGTAAAAAAAATCTATTCCCTTCCCCCCCTCCCTTCCCCGTCAGTACACACGGAAACACAAGCATAACCATGCATAAAGTGGGAGGGTGGGGGGCAGCCAAGGATACAAACTCCCTCTTAGAAAGTTTGAATTCTTATTAACCCAGCGATGCCTCGATAATGTTACATTAGATCAGCAACATAAAAGTTAGAATATACATCTCTTTTCTTCCTAGCAAAGGAAACTACAAAAACACTAATAATGAAAAATAGATGTCAAAAATATCCAGGAGGAAAAAGTACATGTACAATAACCGAAATGAACTTCCTCTGCCCCCACACCAAAGCAGATAAATAGCAAATCTTGGAATAAAAATCCTGTCATGAAGAGTGGAACCTGCTTTCTCTTTTTTTTTGCTTTTATTTACTGTATGCCAAGAATGGAGTTTAAACTTAGAGTGTGCATATATATAGAAAACAAAGAATGAGAGTCACCGTTAACCCTGGTCACCGGCATTACAGTTAAAGTCATTGGCAAATACTAATAAACCCCCATTCAGCAGTAAATAAAGAGAACATGATATATGGACGGACAGATGGAACTGCATAAACAGAAAAGAAAAAGCAGAGGGACCCACAAACATACAGAGAGAGCTGTTTTAAAAGAGTGAAAGATATTGATTTACTTGGAACTAGTGTTGGAAAACAAACGTATTTGTTTCCTTCATGATTAAAAAAAAAAGTAATTAAAGTGAATCATAAGGGGGCACACCCTTAAATAAGTCGGGGGGGACGACATTTGTAGAGGGTAAGGCCTTCTATAGATGTTCCGAATTTTAAGCTAGCAAATAGGTCCGGCAAACTTACATTTCTAAATTAAAAATCGGAGGGGGTGGGGGGAGGGTGAGGGGGGGTGGAAATAAAGAACTGCTGGTGGTTTAAGGAGAGTAGAAGCTTTATTCTTTTATGTTTTATAAAAGTTGACTGGCCTACCTTGTTCCCCAGTCCTCAGTTTGTCTCCTCATAGTCGCTGTCTCCCTGGAAGTACAGTGTGAGTGGTAATGACTGCCTGCCTCCCTAATGAGTCCATTTTCCTGCTCTTGATGTTGTGTATATACACACACTGCAACCTACCTTACAAACCACAGAGACGGGAAAGGGAGAGCGAGCGAGAGAGAGAGAGCGAGAGCGAGCGAGAGTGCGAGAGACAGGGAGAGCGAGCGAGGGAGAGAGAGAAAGGCGCACACAGACAAAGCCCTCCTACCAGACAGCAGACAACCCTCCTTCCCCTATCTAGCAAAATACAACTCGGCAAATGCAGCAACAGGTTCAATACTGCCAGGCTGAGGCAGCGTAGCAAAGGTATACGGGGCTGAGCAGGATGGCTGGCAAATAAACACTTCGGTGCCGGCTGACTCCACCTTTCTTATTTATGTTACAGGATGTTGGAATGCATTGTTTCAGACAGTCCATATGATTATCATAAATACATTTTTTGTGCATATTAGCATGAAGTGCCGAAACGTATCAGCCATTCTGCTCCGTAACCTTATAGCTCTAACACATGCAGGGAAGGTGTAAACATATCTCTTTTGACAGACAGACTACACAAAGCCCACTGATGATTTTAAAGTCATGAGATCTTTCAAGAAAGACTCTCCTGAAGATAGGTTTCCCCAGACAATAGGGGAGTGGGGAAAATTGATCTTGATGAGGAAGAAGTCTTCCTAAGAGACTGCTCGGTAAACAATTGAAAAGGGAGGGCTATTCTCCCCAGCATTCCCTCCTTTCAAAAAATATATATTGGGAAGCTTCTACCCCTACAGCTATAATAATGTGCTGTGCTTATGTCTGAACAGGTGCAATGCATATAGTACATGGTGTTACAAGGACAGAAATAAATCTCTCAAGTAAAAAAACATTTTCCCAGTTGCAAACAGGCCAAGGTTATTTAAAATACAGGTCTAATCTGAAGAATGTTCTCCCCACTCCCTATGTGTTTACTCCCTGTGTAAAATGTATTTTTGCTGGGGGGAGGAGAGAGGATGGACGGATGGTGGAAGGTGCGAAGGAGAAGCAAAGATAGGAGAAGCAATACATGTAACTAATTACTGTATTTTTATTTTTAAAATATTCTGTCACATCTGAAGAAGCTGTATGCTGCTTCTAAAATAATTTTCACTCAGCCCTGCTTCTCATCACACATGAACTTATGTTGTCACAAAAATTCTGTTTATTTTAATGACAACTACAGACACGTCAAAGTGGGACGAACAGGGAAAAAACATTTTGCACCTGTATTTCATCCTTGGCAAAGGCTCTCCAACAACTTTACCTATATGATATTTTTTAGGTGGACATACTAGGAACAAAAACAAAAAAAAAAAAAAAAAAAAAACACCAAGAAAACCCAAAACCCAAAAAGGTTAAGAGATATTCCCAAAGTTATGCTGTAAATCAGTAGAAAAAACAGATGAGAACTCAAATCTCCAGAAGCAAAACAGACTTTTCCTGAAGTAACTCATACCCACCTAAAAGTTAAGTGTCCTATCTAAGCCAGTTGTGTAGGCTCCCTCTATTGTCAGTGGAGAGACAGGCACCTCCCAAAAGCAATTCATCCCACCTTTCTCTGTCTCCCTGCTAAAGAGGGAGCCTATACAACCAGATTAGGCTAAGCAGCTATCTTGTAGTTGGCTAAATTAAGTAAAATGAATCCCACTTTTGATCTAAAGCTCTATTACAACATACTGCTTCCCAAAATACATTTTTATTATCACATTTATTATTTGGCAATATATGCCTAAATTATAGTGATGGAAAAGGGATAGCCTGCTGACTAAAAGAGACAGGTAAACTCCCTAGATTCATGGATTTGTACCCTCAGGCTGGCTGGATATTCATGATTCACGGAGTCTTTATAATATTAACCAGCCTGGTGACTGGTGAATTTGATTAGTTTTGTTCACTGGTAAATGGTACACATATTTATATATTTATAAGTATTCCACTTATAAACATTCTGGTTTCATCCAGATGTACAGTAAATACAGAAGGATTAAGTAATTTATTTCAAAAGGTTAATTTTCATTAGTTTTTTCATCAAAACACAGCCTCTCTTATCTTAGGGTAAAATATAAAGAGTAAAAAGCTCTAATAGATGACTTAGTTCAACTCCTTCTGTAATATTTAGCTACGTACACACCTGGCATATGTAGGGGCAGCTCTCCAAGTTACTCCAAATATATATTACAAAAATTTAGTCGTATTACGTATTTTCTTCTCAGGACTTTATGACCATAATCACCTTATTGAAGGGTATGTAAGGTCAGGAAAGCAGAAGGGGCATTTGTAGACTTTGCTTCTAACTGTGGTAACCCGATCTGGCTGTGTAAGTACTAATTGAGCAGTCACTGCCTCAGTTTTTCCATCTGTAAAACAGACTGAACTGTAGTTCCATGAGTCGATGGTACTGTAAATATGTGAAGAGTCTTCCCATCTCGGCCTGGCATCTCTCAGAGTTTTACGATGGCAAATATTATGGGAAAAATATAAATACTTTGTCAAGGGGACTTGTATCAAAGCCAGCTGATGAAAATCACAAGTTTTCATATCCTCATATTCAGTTCAAATAATAAGAATAGTCTCTGAATTTAAAATTTAAAAACCAAGTCTACACCAAAATGAAGATATCAGATGTGAGTTGTTCTTAGTAGCCTGCAATATTTGACCCCAAAGTAACATTAATTCTTTTGTCCTACCAATCTTACACATACAAATCTGAAGAGATATTTAAAATGTACCAGCTTTGAACCCTTCAAATTTAAGACATTCAGGTTGAAATCTGAGTACTGAGACAGAAACACTAAAGTTTGAGAAATGTTCAGATTTGCAACTGATCCAGATCCAAAACCTCTAAGGTGGGAGGCACCTGGTCCTTAACCTTCCTCTAACTTTCTAGAGATGTCATATATGCATCTGAACCAGGATAACAGGATAACAGGCCAAATTTCCTCATGCTTTGAGGAAGTCTGAATCTCAGTAAGAAGACTACAACTGAGTCCAGTTCCACACACTTACAACAATACTTAGGGCCAGTTCCAAACTGGAACCCAAAGCCACCCCTTCCAAAGTTGCATGGGGTTTATGTACTCACAGAACTATAGAACTAAACCAAACACTTTCAAACCTCAAGACTGTTGGAAAGCAAATATAGAGTAGATTCCAACTTAAGCCAGTTTTGGCCCTCAATCAGAAATTAATCAAATTAACCATAATCTTTATAAAATACAAATATATGTCTGACCTGAATGAAAAAACCCACAAGATGTGATTTGCACTACTGGTTCCTTGCTTGAAAGTCTTTCTTAGACTTAGATCCTAACCATCAGTGGCTCGATTCTGGCTTGTCTTATTAATAATTTAATCCATCTAAACCATTAAAAAAAATCCTGAGTTGTGTGATTAGAACGGAGAATCCTGATTTAATGTTTTGCCAACATAAAAACTGCCCATTTGCTTGATTCAAAATGCTCAATGAAAGCCTGCTCACCACCACACCACACTCCTATGGATCTGCAATTCCTCCTCTCCATTATATGAGGAAGTCAATGGCTAGGCACTTGGATCATTTGCAAGAAGAGGAAGGAGGACGTGGCTGCTGGCAGCTTTTAACTCTGTCACAGGACTGGACACAGACCTGTCGTGTGACAGTGAGGGCCTGCATGGTAGTCACATGGCTGGCCTATGTCTGGCCATGCAGCAGAACAGGCAAGCAAGTGTTGGTGATGTGCCAGGATCATACATCTCCCATGGAAGAGACACCAAATTTTGGTTAGAAAACGCACGTTTGTCACCCCACAAGAAAGAGGCTGGAACAGAGGGCTTCCAGCTGGCTTAGTAAAAGGCTGCACTATCCATCCTGAATGCAAGAACAAGCAATGCTGGTCTACCCAGATGATGATATTTTTCTTTTTCTGCAAACTTTCTTCTCAGTTCAGAGTTAGTCTCTAGCAACTGTCATTAGGGAGGCAAAAGAGCCCCAGCCCCTCTGGCTAAGCCTTCAAGAGAATGAAAAAAGTACTAGAACCATAAAGGCAGGTGAAAAATTGTCATGTTTGGTGCAGCCAGGGCACCCATCTCCAGTTCTGCCAGAGAGCTGCAGAGCCCTGATTTTCAGTAGTAAGGGGAAGACAGGGAAAACCAAAGTGCCCACCAGAACTGTGAAAGACTTTGTTGCAAATGATGAGATTCTGGATAACGGACTGAGAGGGAAGGAAGGTACTTCAGTGCTAAATAACATATTCTAGACTGCTCTAGTCTCTCCTTTCCACTTTATGTCTCCAGGCGCATCAACATGCTGTTTAGACATATCTTGTTGGCAGCCAAAACTGGAAAAGGAGTCATGACATCATATAAACATGTCTGAGGATAAGAGCTACTTCCTTCAGAAAAAAAAAAAAATATTAGCCTCTTAGCATATACCTAAGGGTTGATTTTCAAATGCTGAAAAAATTTAAGTGAGACTGACTCCATGAACTGGTTGGGTACCTTGCCTATCCCTGTGATGGGCTAAAACACTGGGTTTGATGTACTTCACATATTTGCCCTACAACATTTCCATGAATACTTTCAGAGAGCTCTGCATTACTAGATTCCCATGAACTGTTCCTAGAAACCAGGCTGGTTTAACATCATACTGCTGTTAAAAATCCCAGGCAAGCTTCCATCACAATTCTGTTTCAGATGGTATAGACGGGACCTAGAAACAGTCACAGCAACATGTCTGAACTTGATTGCTTCCACTTAGTCCCCTTAACCACATACATAGGTCTCTGAGACACCCCTGGTGTATCACACCATCTTGTTGCCAGCCCAACAGGATTGGTGATTCACATGTCTCTACTGATGTCCTGCAGTGTCTCTGCAACTTTGTGCAAATGTAATGAGAGAGATGCAAATTAAAAAAGCACAAGAGTCCTGCAGTGTAGCAGGCTGATTCAAATCAGATACCTGTATGAAGTGATTAAAAATAGGTTTTTTAAACCTGAAGATAACAGGAGGTGAGTATGTTTGATTTACATCAGCAGGGGCCAACGAAAAATGTAGAAGCCACACAAAACTCTTTATTC